AGAGAGAGAGAGAGAGAGAGAGAGAGAGAGGGTAAGAGAGAGAGAGAGGGTGTGAGAGAGAGAGAGAGAGAGAGAGAGAGAGAGAGAGAGAGAGAGAGAGAGAGAGAGCATTGGCTGGCATCAGGGTAGAGCTGCAGCAGTAGCTGTCTTGGCGAGTAGGTGGCCACCTCTACCTTCTCTCAAACAACAGAAAGTGTTTGTTATGCAGAGTTAACATGGGACCTGGCTCCACTACTTTAGACTCTCGAAAGTTCGAGAGTAACACCTCTCTCCATTTGCTCTAGGCTGTACTCACGAAGCCACCCTTCGAAAGCTATCAGAAAGCACTCTCAAAGGGCACTCTTGATGCATCCAGAGCTCACAGCCTGCAACACGATGGTTTTCTAGCGTGATCGCTCCTACCCCCGCTGCGGCCTCTACTTTTCGTGAGTGTGCCTCCGGCCTCTACTTTTCGTGAGTGTGCCTCCGGCCTCTACTTTTCGTGAGTGTGCCTCCGGCCTCTACTTTTCGTGAGCGTGCCTCCGTCAGAACAGGCTGGCGCTAGATAATTTGAAATTAATTCAAAATTTTCAAGTAAACTGGCTGGGAAGGTCTGCAGGGGAGGGGTTGGGGAAAATTGAGTGGCCAGGCCAGGAAGATACAGGGGTCCCTCCCAAGAGGAATTATCACCTCTGCTGTTGGGATTGGTTCTCGAGTCAACCAGGATCCTCCCTTACATCCCCAATGTTTTTTGCAGATCCTATCCCACCCTCTGAGCTTTCTCTGGTTGATATTCAATGGTATGGTCGGGAAGGGAATTAGATTAATATAAAATCTGATAAATATTGGCTGTTCAGTCTAATTCAGAGCAGGAAGGCTCAAGCAGATTGCAGTCAAGTATATACAGGCATATATGGTGAGGGAAGATGATAGAAAAGTCGAGCAATTCCAGGCGCCCTATTAAAGGGTGAAGAGGCACTTCTGTTACCCTATTGATGATTGTAAGAATGATTCTTTAACATATACAGACAATACTGGATGCACAGTAGGACGTAAAAAAAAAAAAAAGAAAAAAAAAAAGAACAGGCTGGCGCTGTCTTGTAGTCCTCATGAAAACTGTGAGCGCTTCTAGAGTTTGTGAGTCTAAGAGGCCCGCCACACAGGCTGGTTTTCGACAATTTTGCATCGCCACACAGATTTTCGAAGAATTGCGGCTCAAAAACATTTTGACAGGTGTCAGAGTGGTACGCTCGACAGCCACGGTGACCCTCCCGCGTTCGTTTCCTCCCGCCCGCCTCCAGGGGACAGAAATTTGAACGTGCCCCACCTGCCTTTCGTCGAGAATTCCGTTCGTATTTGCATTGTGTCAGTGACTGTTCCGTGACGGCGGTGCCCTGTGGAAAGGTGGAGTCCATTTGGCCATGACCAAAAACCTTGCCCCTCGAGGATAAACTGTCGACCGCGGACTTTCAATTTTTTTCTGACAGCTGCGGAAACTGAAAGAGAGAGATCTATCATCAAAAGCTCCGTAAAAAAAAAAAGAGAATTCATAATGGCTTGCGAGCCTCTAAAGTAAGTGGACTGAGGCCTCTCTTTTTGAGAGTTTTAGAACTCTGACAGATCCGGAAGTTATCAAAAAATTTCCGAAAGTCTACCTTCTTCCCCCGAATACAATGTACGGTCATTCTAGCTGTATTTGAGGCATCTTTCAGTCCAGATACAGCTATAATGACCGTACGTTGTATTCGGGGAAGAAGGTAGTGTAGTGGAACAGGGCCCATGAGGAGCATAGACCATCCACCGTCCTTTGAGTTGGGTTGTTCTGAGTGGTGTGGCCGCTGCGGCGCATAAAACGGTGAGGCAGAACACCAGCGATGCTGCCTGAATACATGAGTTGCCCTTTTTTCGCGACAGTATGAAAGGAAGCAAAAGTGCAGTTCCATTGAAAACTTCGTTTTTCAAAAGAAAAATAAAAAAATTCCGTTTTTGTTGAGTGGCAAGGGTGGGTATGATGCAAGGTAGACTGACAGTTTCAAATAAAAAAAGATTAGTTCTTTCCATAGCCATCTTTGCATTCCTGGACGAGCCTTCTCCAGTCAACTTGCATTCAAGCTCAGCAATGGTGAGTTTCAATAGACTGACTTCGTCTCCTTCGTCCCTCTTCTTTCCATCAATCACTTTATACACCTTATCCAGATTCTCAGACAACTCCCTTATCGATGACTGAAAATCCTCCCTCTCCTTCTCTCTCGTTGTTTTCATCCTTCTCACGTTGTTTTCTGTCTGCTTCTTCTTCTGCGGCCTTCTCCTTGGCCATGTCCGCTTCATGTTTCTCTGCAATCTTGGCCACGCGATCTTCCAGAGTGGTAACCCGTTTACTGAGCCAACCACCCGCACCTGAGTACCCGGAGTAAGCTGGAGCGGCAGTGCCTATGTTAGACGAGTTATTGGACGGAAGAGTGAGAAGAGGGGTATTAGCAGGCACAATAGCAGTGCTATTAGCATGATCGTTCAGCCGACAATCAGGGAGGGGGCAGAAACGGGAGATATGACCTTGCTGGCCACAGTTATAACAGGACCTCGCCTCGACATTCTGATAAGACGCCACTGGAAAATGCGAAGTCACGCAGCAGTAGTATAACCTCTACGCCGGTTCCTCTGTGCAAGAAAGGTGGTTGAGCGAAGCTACAACCAATACGACAAATCAGAATGAACCAATAC